GAGGGAGTGGAGTATCTAAAATGAGTTTTACAACAGAGGTAGCAATATTTGGTGCTTCTTACTGTGACAGAAAAATTCTTCACTTCTGTGCAGACCAGGGTGTGGAAGGGGTTGTGCTTTGTGGCTCCTGATGAATGAAGGGGCACTCCGTCCCTGGCTTGTGGTTACAAGAAGCAGGTTGGCTTGGCTTTGAAGTTAAATAATTCTGCGCTATCTCAGGTACTGTCGTTAGTTCTGGCTGTCATATAAACTGGATGAAAAGAGTTTAATCTCCCCTCAAGAAAGAGGCAGATGGAGGATTGTGAGCAGGCTACCAGGAGGAGAGGCAGACCCTGGAGCTGATGGAGAAGGTCTCTACAGGCATTGCCTGGAAGTTCCCGTCTTCAGCCCTGTCTTGTGAGATAATGTGACCCATTACTACTTTTCTTTCCTCCCCCCCTCACTTATACTCAGTTTTCTTGAATATTCGAAGTGGTAGAATGTAACCACGTTACAGCATTTTTTTTTCAAATGGCTGTGTGTAACATTTAAAAGGATAATTTTCCCAATTCACTCTGTGCAGCAGGTGCGGGTCCTGTGCCTCTGCTTGAAGGGCCCCTGCTTTCCCCCCACCGTGCTGTCTGTAATAGCGAGGCAGGCACAAAGGTGCAGGTCTGTTCATGAGCTCCTGCCCTAAGGCATTTCCACACTGTCTGCTCATTCCTTCTTGTGTGTCAAGCTGTGAGGACACCTTAATCTGGCAGCAGAGATTTCAGATCTCTCTGATCTTTAACCTCTAGACTCAGTACCGGGTGATTCAGGGGGAGAGGTGAGATACTGTTTTGGGATAATCTGTCTTAGAAGCACTTTCCTTGTAATTCCATTATTGGAGATTTTAGTGATTGCAGTTTATGCCAAGGACTGTGCTTGTTCTGAATTTAAAGCACAATCATCCTTTGAATGCTTGCCATAATATTTTTCATGCAAAATTTGAGCTATATGGAACAATGACAATGTTTAAAAGTATATTTTGCTCAAGAAAATAATCTTTTCAGTCTTACTTGCCATCAAAGCTGACTTATTGTTATGGGTTGGTTTGTTCTTAAAAATATATTGTTATATATACAGTTAATACTCAAGATTGTGTGAAAATCTTGAGGCACGCAATTAAATCCTGCACATGCAGTCACAGGACAATAAATTCTCTTTAATTATTTGCATCAAGCCTGGGCAATAAATCAGTAAATAAGGTTGTTAAGTGCAGTCTTTCTCTTATCTAAGCAATTCATTCTCCTGGTCAGGTGTATTAAAGCAGGAACATTGTCATTTATTTCTGTTTTGTACCTGCTATCATTCATTACATCTTCTTTAAGGACATGCATATCTATGTGATATTATCTGAGGATTGGGCTTGATATGATTTCTACATCTGGAGTACTAATATAGTTAATAGATTTGATTGACTTTGCAAAATAATGAAAATGGTACTTTATTTTATGTCAGTTTCATGTTCAAATTTCTATGTGTGGGAGAAGTGTCCCTGGTAACTCAGTAGTAAATCCTTCCCTGAAAACATGGTCAGTGTCAAAATGAGTGTAGTCTCTCCAGAAGTGTTATAGCACTACAATCTCTGAACACAGGAATGAATGTTATTTCAGAACTGAAATTAAGCAGAATTTCATCTCCATCAGTCTAAAAATAATTATTTGGAAAACTAAATTGAGGTTTGCTGTGACAAAGGGTATTCAGATGATGGAGAAACTACAGTCTGTTATTTGAAAGGAGGTATTTCTCTTTTTTTTTCTGATTTTTACTGTTGTGATGAAAGCTGTGCAAAAATTAGAATTTTACTCTAATAAAAATTTCAGTATAAAAGAGTCTTCAAGTCTAAAATGCACAAAAGTTTTTGCAAGTGAAACACCTGTCTTAAAATGGTCAAAAATTATGATATATTGGAATGCCTCTCAGGAGGCAATGATCCATTATAACAAAATGTAATTCAGTGTTGAACTGAGAAAGTTGAAACAATTTTAGTTAGTCCAGTATTAAGATATTGTAATTTAATGTGTTACCAACCCCGATTGCTCTACATTTAAGTCTCTATATCCTCCCTTTGCATAAATGCCAGTGAGGGTCAATTCTGTCTCCATGTATTCCTGTTTACCGTTTGAAAAGAGCTTACAAGCACTTGCACATACATACAAGAAGTCTTTTTAAACATTCTGTTTTAGAGTTATTTCAATAAAATAGCTGCATTCAAGAATTAGCACACTGTGAAAATTATTCATCCTTGTTCCATAAATGAGGCAGAGGTTTGTCTTAAAACAAGCATTTTAGGTAAATCTATGGAAATCATTTACTTTGGTGAAATTAGTGAAATCCATTTCATTAGGTCCAGCATGTCCTGGGACAGAAAGCCTTTGACCTGGCAGCCTGTATACTTTCCATATTCCATTATGCAAATATGAGAATTCATCAGAGACTTTGCCTCGTTCCTGTTACCCTCATTCCAGTTGATTGTACTGTTTTTCTACTTCAGACAAATCTATGCACAGTCTCCCAAAACTAGCAGCTTCTGCCCACAAAAGCAACATAAGCTTGTTTTACTATTACTTGCACATCAGTGGCATTGTGTTCAGTGTGTCAGGCACAAAGAGAATTCCCATCCCAGTGAGTTTAGAGCCTGAAAGTATCAGGCCTGATATTCAGTTTACACAAAACAATATAATCCCGTTCAAGCCAGTGAACTCTGTATTACATAAGCAAAGGGCCTTGGTCATTGTTTCAAACAGGTGAAGATTTTTCTTTTTTTTTTTAATAGCAAGACTAGGAACAAACTAGACAAGCAGTGTTTTTATCAAGCTCTGCTGTAGTACAAGGAGAGACAAAGGACTGGTCAGAAAATAATTCTATTTCATAGAATAAAAAACAAAGTCATACCCACAGGTAGTTCAGAGTCATGTCAAGGTACATGTCTGCTTCTAATCTGAACTCTTCAGACACTGTTTTCCCCATTCCCACTCCCACACTGCAATTTGTGCACAAACAGAAAGGCTTCCCTGTGCAGTCATCCTGGTGATATCAGATGTCCCTCCCCTGCAGCCCTAGGTGACATCCCAGCTCATTCACGCTGCGTGTTTTTCATGTTGCTTGTGTGGGGTTGGGATCATACTCATTGCTCATCTGCTTTGTCCAGGTCAGATGTAATTTGTTCTGTGCAATTCTGCTTCCCCTGGCAGATTAAATCTGATGTGGGTTTCTCACTTTCTGTTTCATACTGCTATCTTCTCTGAGCAGACATAGGCCCAGCTTAGTGCAAATATATCTTTTGTCTGCAACACCCATGAGATTTCTTTTATTATTAGTGGTTTGCTAATTTCCCATGATCTTCTTTCTGTGCAGCACATTTTAAATATGGTACATCCACATTACAAAATTCTTCCTCCTTCTCTTCTTCATGTATTTCTGTACTAGATTATGACACATTTAGGGCAAACAACATAGTATTGATACCTAAAGAAGAATACAAAATTTTTCTCAAATAAAACATAACATGATTCTTCTTAAAGTATAGCCTTACTGGAAGAATGCATCATCCTTAGTTCTTTCAAAGTTACAGTACAAGTTCACATGGCATGTTTTGGTTAGCTGGGAGATGTTCTTGTAAAGTTCAGAATCTCACCTGAATGCAGATCTGAATGTTCCCGAAGTTTGGAATGAAAAGATCACATCTGTAGTATTGCCTTACATATGTTTAATTTTCAGATTTTGTGCTGTCCTTTGTTAATTGGAGTTCCTTCTCTGTTCATTTTACTGGCATTTTGAATTTCAAGGTACCTTTCTGTCTGCAGAGCTCAGCTACAGTCCAAACGGAAGCCCTGACAACAGCAACCAACCTCGTCCTCATTTCAGACTGCCTGTTTGGCTTTTGTACCTGTCCAGTTTACATGACATTGCTAATATCAAACTCTTCATGAAGGTTAGATCTTCAGTTTGTAGAAGCTGACATACCTTCCTACATCTGCCACACCCAAACTGAGAAGCTACCAGGTTCTACCAACCAGCCACCACACACTGAGGAGTTACATGTGACTCTCCACAGGCTCTTGGATCAGGAAGGTTCTTCTGTAAATCATAGAATATATCCTACACTGCACTGTGTAGATTGCCTGGAAACACCAGAGTGGGATTTACATGAGATAGCACTATAGCTATGCTAAGATTATACTCCACCCAGACTAATATATCTCCTGTGAAAACTACACAGAGCTGTGTGGTTTCCAGTAGCTCAGCTCAGTGGATATGATTGCATTGCTCTGCGTGATGCTGGGTAGAAATGCCATGGTCTTGCGTATGATTTCAAACACGTCAGCATCTAAATACTCTGCTCCACTATCACTGTAAGAGTAGGTCACTGAGAAATACAATCCAGAGTCACTTAGAAAATCATCAGTCTGATCCCCAGATCTACCTCTTTTCCCTCCACTAATCATTCAGCAGTGGCAGATCTATCACTGGGGTGGGAAGTGCCATTCCCCCTCTCTCATTTCTTCTCCTGAGTAGTTTTTCTGTCAATCCATGGCTGTGTTCCAAGACCACCACCTCATAGATGTGCTCTCTGCCTTCCAGGAGAGCAGCAGCAGGGATGTCTGGGCATGTTTTCCCTGGCTTGGGACATGTTTTGCATCTCACATTTGCCACAGGTTTGCTCATTCTGTGCTTATTGCCCAGGTCAGGTGCCAACTTTCCAAACTTTTGTGCTGTTTCCATCCTTATCCTGCTGGTACCAGCCACGTGTGAGGGCCACTGGAGCCACCCAAATTTTCCAAACAAGAATAGTAATACCACGGGGGACATATAGTAACAGTGTCCAAAGGGTGATACTTGAACAAGCTGGGTACCAGAAACTGGAAAGAGTTAACCACTGCCTGATCCTGCTTTAGCAAAGACTCCCTGGGCTTCCAGCTAGGCCTGCTTTATGGCACTGAGTTGAAAAAGCAAATGAACAATTAAATTCCTACATTTAGATTGCGAGTCCAGACATTTCGAATCCAACCGGGATCTTTCATCAATGGAATCTGAAAGAAACAAAAAATAATGAGAAATAATGCAGTTAATTAACTATACAGAGAAGTTAATGTATACAAGCCTCAATCATGGTCCTTGAAATGCAGCTGCTCTTAATGAATACCTCTCCTGTGATTCTTTTGTAAGCCACATTACCCTTGTGTCATCCTCACTCTTTATCTGAACTGAGAAATGTTCTCAGTTCTCTCTTTCTGCCTCAGTTTTTAGGGGTTTTGCAGAAGGATTTAGTCCTCTGCTGGTAAGATCTGTGTCATCAGCTGGAGAGAGCTTGGAAGGAGAGGATCCCTGCAAGCTCTGAAGAAGCAGGGACCACAACAGTCTCTGTTTATCCTTTTGCAGTATGGGGATGCCCAATACAAAGGGAAGAGGTAGAGTTGTAATTCTACCCCACTGCCTAGGAAAAAAGTCTTTTCGTAATGCAGCATTCTTAGACTTGTTCATGGCACAGGAAGACCTCTAATATCAAGTAAGATAGGAAAAGAAGTTCTGTAGGACAAGAAGAACACACTTTACCCCCTTTGAAGCAACCTGGGGCTCAGGAGCCTCATAGCAGAGCCATGAGTTTATTCCATGAGCAATGCCCTGCTGACAGGCAGCACAAGAGCCTCAGCAGAGTGGTTATACCTCCACAGACAGAGCCCCACAGCTGAGGTGGCACACAATTACTGTGACAACCTCTTTTTGAATGCGCAGAAGTAGGAGTGAATGATGATTTCATTTTTAAAGAAGCCACAGTTGCAAGACACACTGAAATAAATTAATATCCACTAAATAGGGTAAGCTTCCAGTGTTGTTGAAGATGAAGGGCCACATGTTTAAAATAAAAGGAAGTTATTGAAGAGAAATTCTGTACTGCATTTTATACTACTTTTTATTTCATAGTGAAATTTCATACTGAAAGAACTAATTCTACAGGATCAACAAATATGCTGATGATATGAAAAAATAATTTGAAAGATTTCCCTTTCTTGCCTTGAAGAATTAACTTCCAAATGTGACCAGGTTTGCTGGTGGTGTGTTCTGAAAATACTCATATTTCCTCATATTCAAATATCAAAATTTTTCAAACACAAATGCTCACCAGACAAAACCCAACCCATTCTGCTCTCTGTCATTCCCAAGTTATATGAAACCTAGAATACTCTGTGGAATTTTACTGTCTAAATAGATAAGGCATGAAATTATTCTTTTTCTGAACTTTCTTTTATTTGAATTAAGATAATGAAACAAATACAAATAAGGAGCAATCAGAAACCGAAAAACAAGCATTACAGAAATAAATTCACCCAGTTCTAGTAGGTGCAGTTCTTAAGGGTTCCTTTACTGTTCATTACACTCACACACTCTGGTATATGTATAATTAAAATAACATTTTGTGCTGGGGATGTGATAAGTGAGTTTGGGGTGGCACCATCAGAAGACATAGCGGTTTGGCACACAGCCCTTCTCCGTTCACCATAATATCTTGCACTGGAACATTACACTAGGGATTGCACAACACTATTCAAACAGAATTTACTGAGTCTCTCAACAATCTTACGGACCAGGAGGTATTATAAATTCTGTTTTTCAGATAAGGAAACTGAGACACACCCTGATTAAATTACTTATCTGCATCACAAAGGAATTCTAGCATCTGAATTAGAAATAGATCTTTATATGTGGCCCATTGTTTTAACAAGTGGTCTATCCTTTCTATTCTCAGAAGCAGAATAAAAATACTGGCATTATTGCATCAATAGTTAAATGAACAGAAACACTCTTGCAGGCTAAATTATTTGTTGAAACACACATGCATATTGTATGCAAATGTCGAATTCGATATAATTACAATTTCATGTTGCATGTGCCTGTTTGTGTCTCAGAGGTGTCATAGAATGGTTTGGGTTGGAAAGAACCTTAAAGATAATCTAGTTGCAACTCCCTTGCTATGGGGAGTATAAGCTTTATGAGACCAGCTTGCTCAAAGCCCCATCCAACCTGGCCTTGAACCACTTCCAGGGATGGGGCACCCACAACTTCTCTAGACAGCCTGTGCCAGTGCTTCATCACCATTACAGTAAAAAACTTCTTTCTAATATCTAATATAAATCTACCCTCTTTCAGTTTAAAGCATTCCACCTTGTCCTGTCACTACATACCCTTATAAAAAGTCCCTCTCCAGGTCCTTTGTTGCCCATTTAGTTACTGGAAGGTGCCCTAAGATCTCCCCCTGGGGTCTCAGCTTCTCCAGGCTGAACAATTCCAACTCTCTCAGCCTGTCTTTATAGGACAGGTATTCCAGCCCTCTGATCATTTTTGTGTCCCTCCTCTGGATCTGCTCTAACAGGTTGTCTTGGTTTCTCTTTGGTGTTGAGGTAAATTGCGGGGAGGTAGAGGAAGCTTGGGGATTGGATTTTTGTGGAGTAAAACATCCACACACCTTTCCTGTGCTGAGGACCCCGGAGATAGAAGCCACACTCCAGGTGGGGTCTCACCAGGGCAGAGTAGAAGGGCAGAAACACCTCCCCCAACCTCCCGGCCATGCTGCTTTGGCTGCAGTCCAGGATACAGTTGGCCTCCTGAGCTAAGTGCACTCATTCTTTCCTTTTCTGTCTTTCTTAAAAACAATCAAAGTTCCCTGATCCAAAAAATAAATCTCCGAAACATAATAATAGGAACCGCCACAGGAAAACAGTATGTTTCATCAGCAGAAAAGTCAACAGTGTGTTGCAACAGAGTTGGTAATTGTACAAAAGTGCCTGTGCATTCAGTTCGTCTGAAAAACAGTGATCAGAGACAGGCCTGTAAAACATTCTTTGTGTACTGGTGCAACAACCACGCGACTCTCCAGGATCCCTGCCAGCAGTTTGAAAGTACAGTTAATGTTGCAGTTTAGTATTTGATCTTTAGAGTTTTCTAATTGCTGCTCCTGCCCGCTTTTGAAAAACAACCCTAAGGAGCTTTCATTCAGTCCTGTAATTAATGGAAAAATTTAGTATTTATTGAATGATATTTTGTCCATTTTCAGAGTGACTGTTGTAAATCGACTGTCTGCTTTTCCGACTTAGTAGGCTTGGAAATGCAAACTGACAGGAGCAAAAATTATTTTAAAGCGGACACAATGCATTAAATCTTTTCTTCAGTTGTGCCAGCCTCTGTAGGCACCCTGCTGACCTTAGAGAACAAGCTAATGTGGGGAAAAGATGACCTCGCACTTGAGTTAGTGAAATAGGACACAAGTGCTATTCCTGTACAAGACAATCAGAGTCAAGGCACAGGCGGAGTCACTGGGACGCTCTGGTCTGTGCCCTGTCGCTGGAAGAACAGCACTTGGCACGGGTGCCACGGCCAGCTGGCAGCTCCCAGTTTGAGAATGAGCACAGAGTATTTCCAATAGGCACCTGAAGGGGGCCGACCGGTTTTGGGTGCTGATGGAGTTTAATAGCATGGAGGTGTCTAGATTACACCAGTAACATTAAAGCCAGACAATGGCCACTGTCACTGTTTAGTTCATTAACACCAGTGTAGCAAAGAGATCTAGACCACCTCTGGAGCTACCCGAACCTTCTTCCTTCCAGGAGTGTGGGCATGCCACAGGCCTTATTGCTCAGTTCTCCTGATGACTAAAATTAATATTATCCTCCTAAACTGTCAGGGTAAATTCAATAATATTAATAAGGAAACTGTAACTTCTGGTGCAAAGCTAAATTTGCCTTTTGACCTCTAAAAAGGGTCTTTATGACCCTATATTCCCCAGTCTGGCAGCATTAAGCCAAGCTGTATTTTTCCCAACTAAACATGAAACATTTAAGAATTAAGAAATTTATTATAGCTGATAGAAGGTGAAGTAAAACAGAAGACTCAGAGGTAACAGGCCTGATATCTGCAAGAGAACTTCATACTCTCACTAGAGGGAAAAATACATGTTAAATAAAAATATTTCAAGGAAAAAATGAAAAGGTAATAACTGTAATCCATGTCTCCTTGGGAGAGGTATAGAGATGCAGTGAGCATGAAAGAAAACAGGAAACATTTAGGCATTAGGAAAACTTTATGATAACAGGACCACACAAGCTCTCATATGGCTTGGTGGAAGAAGCTGAGATCTTTCAGAGCAGGCTGAACATGCATTTTTCAGGTATGTTTTAATTATAGCCGAATTTGCCTGTAGGCATAGAAATGGACTAGATGATCTCTGAGTCTCTTTCAGCCTTGTATTCTATTATTCTGTGGTGAAGTGACACAGCAGAATGAGTGTGCATTTTCAGGAGTTCTTTTCTAACAATGAAATCTCACAGTGGAAAAAAATTCAGAAACTGGTGGTGAAAACCCTGTTACATGAAATGTTTTGAATCTGACTAAGGAAACTGCAGAAATGAGGTATAAGGAAGCATGGCAGAGTAGCCAAGGGATGGGCAGGGTGACCTAAGCAGCTCTTCTGTCTCAAACTTCTGACTCAGTCTCATGATATCACCTGACTGGTGTTTAGCCCGTTGCATTGATGCAACAGATGTTGTAAACAAAGTTACTCATTTGTGAATTACTCAGGTAATTTAAATCAGGTTCCTACAGTAATCATGCCTCTAAATGTAGTTAAGTACACAGTGTATGTGTGCTTCATTGCTGCTAATATCAGATTGAAACATTCAATCGCTTCCCTTGAAGAGCATTTGATTTTACAAAACAATTACAAGAGCCACACCTGCTGCCCAGAGGTGAGTTCCATTTTCTCTGTAGTGTGGGCGCCTATTGCAGAGCAGCTGATCTGTTCTGTTGCAGTGACCCAGAGCTGGTACCTTTTGTGAGAGGATGCTACCTCCACAACAGAGTAAATTTTAAGCAACAAAGAGGAAGGACGGACACCTTCTTTCAAAATAAGATGACGATCTAATTTAGGCACATGACCAAATTACCTTTCTAAGTGACCTAGAGGAAGAAAACCATTTCCTAGTATCTGGAGTAAGTCAGGTTTGACTGACAAGTTTAGTTTTCCTGGAGAGGTTGTAAT